AAGTTTTGTTTTTGTGGGTTTTTTTTGCCATGACCCAGAATTCAGCAAATGTGTGAACAGCCTTCGTTGCATTCCCTCCTGCATTTGGCTCCAAATCATTGTGGTCTTAATTCCTTAGCGGGTGTAAGCAGGGGTAGGCTGTTGGGGGTTCGCAGGGGTTCGGGAGAATCTCTAGCTAAGATTCTGTGCAGTTCGGAGAACCCCCAAATCCCACTCCTGGCTGGCCCCGCCCCACCCTGCCGCTCCCCTCCCAGGAGTCCCCACGTGGCCCGTTTTGGATGCAGGTAAGTTCGGGGCGCGTCTGGAGTCTCGGGGAGGGTGAAAAATGGGCCTACCAGAAGTTCGGGAAGGCTGGAAATGCAACTGTTTCTGGCCTCCGGAGTGCCTCTGGAGCCTGGGGAGGCCATTTTCACTCTCCTGGAGGCTCAAGGAAGGTCTCCGGAGCCCGGGGAGAGCAAACCACCACCACCACATTGTGGTGCAGGAGGCCAACTAGGCCACGCCCACCATGGCCACGCCCACCCAGCAATCAGGCAGAGAACCCCTTGCTAAAATTTGGGAAGCCCATCCCTGGGTGTAAGGTTTTGTTCAGTGTTCCATTGCAACGTGGAATTGACCGCTTTGGGTGGCATTTAAGCGTTTTCTGCGGCCTAAAAACTTTTATGGGTGTTGCTCTTCGTTGGGGAGTTGGGAGAATACTCTAAAAGAGAGGGATCCGGGGATCTGTACTCATGAAACAGCTTGTAAACCATCAATTAAATGCATGTATCGGTACCAACAATTGTGATTTATCCGTAGTGTGGTTGAGTAGCTCTAGGTTCCATAAATAGAAGTGTAATATGATTGTGAGGTCTTTGGGGCTCTCTTAAGTTTGGACGTCGCATTACCCAACTAGGTAATGCTAGGGGTGCTAGGGGTGGGGTGTACAGTAGGGAGAGGAGGAGGAGGAGGAGGAGGGAGGAGGAGGAGGAGGAGGAGAACTGTGGAATCCTTGGTGCTCTCTGAGCTTGGTAGTTTTTCTTGCAGATGTTTTATGACCCAACGAGGTAACATCATCAGTGCTAGAAGGAAGTAGGGTTTCTGGAAAGGAGGAGGGGGAATGGGAGAAGGAGGAGGACTGAGGGGTCTTTGGTGGTCTCTGAGCTTGGTAGTTTTTCTTGCAGATGTTTCATGACCCACGTAGGTAACATCATCAGAGCGAGAAGGGAGTGGGGTTTGTGGAAAGGAGGAGGAGTGGAGGAGGAGGAGGAGGAGGAGGAGGAGGAGGAGGAGGAGGAAGGAGGAGGAGGAGGAGGAGGAGAATGACTGTGGGATGCTTTCTGAGATTGGTTTGCTTTCTTGCAGACATTTAATTACTAGGTAACATCATCTAGTTGATTAACGAAATGTCTGCAAGAAAACCATCAAGCCCAGAGAGTACCAAGGACCCCATAATTCAACCTTCAGCTACAACTATTCTCTTCTATGGGTATAATGTGACTTTAGGTTGCATAGCTAGAAAGAAGCATCAGGAGCAACTAACAAGCAAGATCCTAGTTGTGTTTGACTTTGGACATGCCTCTCATATACATAGCATGGAGCTGTTTTAGAAAGAAACCAGAAGGATGAGAGGTGTGTTAACTAAGGGAGTCACAGCTGGTTGCTGAGGGTTGACATCCTCAAAGATGTGGAGGATTGTCCCACAGACAAAACAGCTAACTGGGCCTTTGTTGTAGACATCCATGGCTGGTATCTGTTGGTTACTGTTGAGTTTCAGGGTTTAATGGTGGTGAAATGCAGTATTGTAGGCTAATTTTGCTGTCTGCCGCTGCCAGCAGTTCGATTCTGACCGGCACAAGGTTGACTCAGCCTTCCATCCTTCCAAGGTTGATAAAATGAGGAGCCAGATTGTTGGGGGCAAGAGGCTGACTCTGTCAACTGCTTAGAGTGGGCTGTAAAACCACTGTGAAGCGGTATATAAGTCTGAGTGCTAGTGGGAAGGGAGGAAGGAAGGAAGGGAGGGAGGGGGAAGGAAGGAAGGAAGGAAGGAGGAAGGAAGGAAGGAAGGAAGGAAGGAAGGAAGGAGGGAGGGAGGGAGGGAGGGAAGGAAGGAAGGAAGGACAATGGTGGCGCAGTGGTTAGAATGCAGTATTGCATGCTAATTCTGCCCACTGCCAGCAGTTCGATCCTGATCAGCTCAAGGTTGACTCAGCCTTCCATTCTTCATCGGTCAAATGAGGACCCAGAATGTTGGGGGCAAGAGGCTGACTCTGTAAGCTGCTTAGAGAGGACTGTAAAGCACTGTGAAGTGGTATATACTGTAAGTCTAAGTGCTATGGCTATTTTCCTTCCTTCCTTCCTTCCTTCCTTCCTTCCTTCCTTCCTTCCTTCCTTCCTTCCTTCCCAGTTGTTAGAATGCAGTATTGCACACTAACTCTGCCCACTGCCAGGAGTTCAATCCTGACCGACTCAAGGTTGACTCAGCTTTCCATCCTTCCAAGGTTGATAAAATGAGGACCCAGATTGTTGGGGGCAAGAGGCTGACTCTGTAAGCCGCTTAGAGAGGGCTGTAAAAGCACTGTGAAGCGGTATATAAATCTAATTGCTATTAGTGACTATGTTCTAGACAGCAGATATCCATCATTGTTGCTGGTGAAACAGAAGGAAATCTGCTCTTCTGGTCCACAGTCCCAAAGGGCCTAGTGGCTCAGCAGACTGATAGCATTGTGATTAACACCAGCTGCCTGCAATTACTGCAAGTTCGAATCTCACCAGGCTCAAGGTTGACTCAGCCTTCCATCCTTTCTAAGGTAGGTAAATTGAGGACCCAGTTTGTGGGGGGCAATAAGCTGACTTTGTATAAAATATACAAAAAGTATGAAGGCTATTGCTTAACGCATTGTAAGCCGCCCTGAGTCTCCGGAGAAGGGCGGCATATAAATCAAATTTTAAAAAAATAAAAAGCCTGAAGCTCAACCTGCCCAAAAGGAGTTTTTGTTGTGCTAGAGCAGAGGTAGGGAACCAACGACCTTCTGTTGCATTTTTCATCAGGGATGTATTCTTGCAAGAGGCAGACAGATGGCTATATTTCCAGAGTCCCAAGTCCTGTAACATTGTTGAATTCACAGCTGAATTCCCATCTGCTGTAGAGAGCCTCGCCAGCCTGAAATACAACAATACCCAGATAAGGGTTGTTAGCGCCTTCTCAATGCAGGATGCAGGAACTGTAGTAGAATTGGACTCCCTTTGGCAACCTTCTCTTGCATTGATATGGTTTGGATTCCTGCTTTCAGAAGAGCCCTGGTGAAGAGCCCTGGTGGCGCAGCAGACTAAAGCACTATTATTAACATCAGCTGCCTGCAATTACTGCAAGTTCAAATCTCCCCAGGCTCAAGGTTGACTCAGCCTTCCATCCTTTCTAAGGGAGGTAAAATGAGGACCCAGATTGTGGGGGCAATAAGCTGACCGTGTATAAAATATACAAAAGTATGAAGGCTATTGCTTAACGCCTTGTAAGCCGCCCTGAGTCTCCGGAGAAGGGCAGCATATAAATAATTAAAAAAAAGACAATTGGACTAAAATGTATGAAGAACGGTTGCAGGGTTTGAGTCTAGAGAAAAGGACTTCCAGTATTTGAGGGGCTGCCACAAAGAAGAGGCAGTCAATTTATTTAACAAAGCACTGGACGGCAGGACAAGAAACTATGGATGGAAGTTAATCAAGGAGAGAAACAACCTAGGATTAAGGAGAAACTTCCTAACCGTGAGGACAATTAACCAGAGGAACAGAAACTGCCTTCAGAAGTTGTGGGAGCTCCATCACTGGAGATTTTTAAGAAGAGATTGGACAATCATTGTCTGAAATGGTCTAGGGTCTCCTGCTTGAGCAAGTGGCTGGATCAGAAGACCCCCAAGGAACTTTCCAGCTCTATTCTGATTCTGGATTGTAGGACAATCGATGTTGGATGACCGTAGGACTCACAATGGCGTTGGAGGCATGACCTGACAAGACAAGGGATGTAGACTAAACATGAGGAAGATCTTTCAGCTCATAGAAGTCCGTAGGAGGTCAATTAACCAGTGGAACAGCTTGCCACCAGAAGTGTTGTGCTTCTCCGGCACTGGAGGATTTTAAGAAGAGATTCAACACCGATTTGTCTGAAATATTAGAGGTTCTCCTGCTTGAGCAGGGGGCTGGACTAGAAGACCTCCAAGGTCCCTTCCAGCTCATTTATTTTTATTAGTCATATTTCTATGCCGCCCACTCTCCGAGGACTCTGGGTGGCTCACACACAAAGACTAAATAGCATATTGCCCCCAACAATCTGGGTCCTCATTTTACCCACCTCGGAAGGATGGAAGGCTGAGTCAACCTTGACACGGGCCCCGGGCCCATGCCATGCCATCTTCAGTGGCTTTTCCTACTAGTATTCTCCAGATCACCTCCTTCTCCGGATTTTTCCCAAGCACAGCAGGGAGGCCAGAAACTCCGATCCTTCCTCTACCTCTCGTTCCTTTCTCCGGCTTCTCTCCCCCTCTCCCTCTTCTCCTCCCCCCACCCCACCTCCTACCGGCGTTTGCCTGGGGCTTCTCACGACCGAGGGGTCACCCGGCCTCGCCATACCCGGGGGGTTTCAAAGCCGTCCCGATCAAACCACGTTAGTTTGGGGCGCCTATCTCGGTTTGGCTACAGACTTTCTTTATTTGCCCCTTTCCTCTTTTTCGGGAGGTATCTCGGGGGAGGGGGGGGCAGAAGGAAGACCCCGACCGTGCGCTCCCTCTCCTCTCCTCTCCTCCTCCCTGCGCACCGATCCCGGCTTCTGCATTCATGCCAGAGGGGGGGGGGAGGAGGGAGCAGAGCCGCCCGGGGCTTTTGCCGCGTCGCCTCTTCCTCCTCCTCCTCCTCCTCCTCCTCCTCCTCCCTCCTTTCTTCTCCTCCCTTCACCGCCGCGCATCGCCTGGAGGGGAGCGCAGCCTCGGTCGCTCGACGCTGCTGTTGCTACTGCTGCTGTCGAAGGAAAATCCCGACCGAACCGCCCGCCCGTTGGCTCGCTTGTCGCCGCCTTCTCCTCCTCTCCTCCTCCTCCTCCTCTCCCGTTGCAGAGTGCGCGCTCGCTTTCCCCCCTCCCCAAAAAGACGCCAAAGCCTCGCTCCGTCCGGCAGCTTTCGGGAGATGCTGCGGCGAAGGCTGACCCGGTGAGCAGGACTCCAACCAAGCTCGCCTTCCCGGGGGAGGACGCCACCAACCTCCTTAAGGAGCCGCTCTCCAGGAGCAGGGACGCTAAGGCGCCCGTCCGGAGCTCACCCGGAGCCCCCTTCTCGCGGGGGCCGCGGGGTCTCTAACAGGTTGTCTGTTGGCCGGACGGAGAGAGGCGCAAGGAAGAGCCGACTCAACCGGGGAGAGGCGCCGGTGCTGCGCCAGGGCGCCCGTGCGCCTTTGGAGCCGTCCGGAGAACCTGTTGGGTGTCCGGTTTCTCTGAAGGCAGAAAGAACTTGGCGTCCCGGGATCGAAGTTGCGGGAGCTTCTTGCGTTGCAGCGGCCCGGGGCACCGCCTTTTGGGAAGGGGGAAAGCATCCTTTCCTCCCGTGCCTCCGTCGCCCAAGGGCGCACGCCTTGCCCTCCTCCGCCAGCGTCCCTCGGCGGGCACACCGGGAGCGGGGAAGACGGCCTAGCCCGTCGTCCCGCCGCTTCCTCTTCCTAAATCCCGAGGGGCGGCGAGAGCAGCATGCTGGGGGCCTCCCCCGCAGGCAGCGCCCGCAGCCTCGCCGAGTGACCCTCCAGGGTGGCGGCTATGGCGGCAGCCATCGCCAGCTCCCTGATCCGCCAGAAGAGACAAGCGAGGGAGCGCGAGAAATCCAACGCCTGCAAATGTGTCAGCAGCCCCAGCAAGTCCAAGACCAGCTGCGCCGACAAGAAGAAGCTCAGCGTCTTCTCCCGGGTCAAGCTTTTCGGTTCCAAGAAAAGGCGGAGGAGGAAACCAGGTGAGGATGCGCCTGGACCCAACCTGGGGCGGTGGGAGGGGGGCTGAGAGGCGGTGTGGAGGCTGCAGGAGGGGGGGGGGGGCGGGGGAGGGGGTCCCGGCGAGACTGTTGCTTCCCTGGAGTAGTGGACATGGGGGGGTCTTGTCTTCCTTCACTCCAAGCTTTGGCCAGGTGGCTCAAGTTGGAAGGGCTGCAGTCTCAAACATTGAGATGAGTTCACCTGACCCAAAGGAGCTGGCTGCGTTTTAATGGGGGTGCCTTGAGCCTTGGGGGTGGGAGGGTGAGGATTCATGCCAAGAAAGCCACAAGCATATCTTGAAGGTAAGCAACTCCCCCTGGGGGTCTTACCAGAGTTAGTTCTTGGAGAAAGCTGGTCCATCAGTCCTTTGCGTGGAAGGCTCTTTCAGTGGTGAATGAGGCAAGGATAGCAAGCAGCAGCCCTTAGACTTATATACTGCTTTACAGTGCTTTACTGCCTTCTCTAATCGGTTTAGAGAGTCAACTCATTGCCCCCCAACAATCTGAGTCCTCATTTTACTGACCTCGGAGGGATGGAAGGCTGAGTCAACCTTGAGCCTGTTGAGATTTGAACTCCTGGCAGTGAACGGAATTAGCCTGAAATACTGCAGAAGGAAGGAAGGAAGGAAGGAAGAAGGAAGGAAGGAAGGAAGGAAGGAAGGAAGGAAGGAAGGAAGGAAGGAAGGAAGGAAGGAAAATAGAAATAGCACTTAGACTTATATCCCGCTTCACAGTGCTTTACAGCCCTCTCTAAGCGGTTTACAGAGTCAGCCTCTTGCCCCCCAACAATTTGGGTCCTTATTTTTCCCACCTCGGAAGGATGGGAGGCTGAGTCAACCTTGAGCCAGGCGAGATTTGAACTGCCAAATTGGATAGATATGGTCTATCCTGAATTGCAGGAGCAGGAGGAGATGGGACCTTCCGTGGTATCTCCAGATCACCTCTCAGATGGAGAAACCAGAGGTTGAAGAAGGTTGGAGTCAACACGAATGCTTACGTGTTGCAGAAGTGTGTTCTAAGATCGGAACCACAGGGGACTTCTAAGAGGTCTTCTCCTTCAGGTGCAGAGTCATGAAACATTTGTTGGACTCTGGCAGAAGGATGTTCCTTGATGATTTGGTTTCTTCTCTCATTCAAATGTGAGCCAAATTGTGAGGGACGCCTTCTGCCATGGTTTGTCTGGACCAGCTGTCTGGACCATTGGCTGGCTATAGGGGTCATAGTCCAATTTATCTGAGCTGGGGAGATGGTGAGGCTATTCCAATTCTTCTTCTTTAGGTCTGAAAGTGCAAAAGATTGGACACAGGTCATACCTGTGTGTCTCCTTTCTCAATGGTCTTCCTTTCCCAAAATCAAGGTGAGCCATCTTTGTAACAGTTGCGATGTTGGATGGAACTGAGCAGGTGATAGTCCCGTAGCCATACAATGGTGGATCTCTAAAGAGATCTCTTGGTGAGATCTCTTGGAGAAATTATAGGAAGCCCGGTGGTCGGTTTATGTCATGGGACCGTCGTAAGAAATGGAGAGGGACAGCTGATTAATGGCTTTGGAGAAGACTCAAAAGACAGGAAAGGTTATCCCAGACTGTGGATGAGATGATCCATGGAACTCATGTTCAGAAACAAGGAACTTTGGGTGCAGAACCTCAAGAACATACAACCAGGAGGTCACTCTTCTTGTTATATCTCACATGCAAGCTTTTAAAGCTTGCCTTCACAGGAGGGGAATAATACCACGTTTCACTGTGGTATTATTTGCGTGGTGGTTTTGCTACCGGCATGATATAATGGTGCCTTGTACTGGATGCCTAGATTGGCATCGGTGTTACCTTTGTGTATGTCAATTTTCACAATGCCAGACTTCTAGCCATATTGACAAATGACCTGGGTGGAGAAATTACATTCAAATTTCCTCTTCTTTGCTGCTCAGAATTCAGCAAGAAGACTAAGGGTTTTTTTTTTTTTTTTTTTTTTTTTTGCATCGCATTTCAAACAAGCACAGGGTTTAAAAACCAGGCGGACAAGTAGAACTTCGACCCCTTCTGTTGGTGGTTTTATATGGTATTTAAAAATTTAAAAAAGAAAGATATTATTCTCTTTTTGCTCCTAAACATCTTCTTCCCTCTTCTGCTGCTCACCAAAGTAATTTCATTTTTTGGGAGTGGGGGGGGGAGGAGAGGAAGAAAAGAAAAAAATTAACAAAAAGACGCCTTACTTTTATATTTTGAGGTGGGAATAACGTGATTTAACCAAGGAAAACCATCAAATTTTGCAGAGGATCAGCAAGGATTTCGACGTTCTGCGCTTTAACAGAAGTCAAACCCCAGTGGTCTCCATCACCCAACCCTATTGCATGATTAAAATATAAAAGCTAGAGGGGAGCAGGTTTGCTGTGAAAGCATCCGTAAATCAGCCTTTTTTCCTTTTCCTTTTAAAGAAGAAAACGCCCAACGCAAACATTTCTGAAATCTCCCTCAGGGGAAAGAAACATCTGAAAAATGAGGTGGCTTTGCATATTCAAAGGATTTGCATATTCCAAATTTGTCACAAAACGAACAAAATAAACCCATGATGGATTTATTTGATTTATTGGTATGCCATCTCTACACGGATATACACACACAGACAGATTATTATTATTATTATTATTTATTATTATTATTATTATTATTATTATTATTATATTATATTATTTTATTTATTTATTTAATTTGTATACCGCTCTTCTCCAACAGGACTCAGGCGTGGTGAACAGCCATGGTAAAAACTAACATATAAAATTTAAAAGCAATTTAAAAAACATTAAATAATTTTGGCTATCCATTTAAAACAACCCGGATTAAAACCAATTACAAATTAAAACCGAAGGGATGGGATCAAGCCAGCCCGGCTAGGTGAAAAAGATGTGTTTTCAGGGCCCGATGAAAAGTCTGGAGGTCTGGTATCGTGCGTATCTCTGGGGGTAGGTCGTTCCAGAGGGCAGGTGCCGCCACAGATGCCTCTCACCTGTCCTTAAGCGATCTTGCAAAGAAAAGCATTCTTGTACATTTTTCAGGTAACATTCTTGTAAAAAAAAATGTTATTTTAAAGATTCTTTAAAATAAATAAATACACTGGGCTTTGAAAAGGGATTGGAAAAGAGAAAGGGGTACAAGGAAGAGAAATCTGGCTTCCTGTAAGTCTGACCCCATCAGCCTGCACGCACAGAAGAAGCGATTCTAGGTTTGATGGAAATTACAGGCTGTTTTAATTGTTACGCAGCAACGAAATTTGCTATCCAGGGAACAGACATCTTGGAGCTCCTACACGGCTGCCCTCCAAGGAGAACAGCTACGTAACACAAGTGTCTTCAAAACCTTGTTTGCCACGGACTAAAGGATACACAACTTTTTGTCTTTCTTTCGAAACAGCCCTACTTGGAAAAGTAGACCTAACTCCAGGTAAAGGACCAGTTGGTTATCACAAAAGTTTATGGGTTTTTTTCCCCAAAAAAAATACAACTGGACTTTCTTTCTTTGCAAATGTTTCGCTTCTCATCCCAGAAGCTTCTAATTGACTGGTGAGGAATGGAAGGATTTATGTTCTGCAAACATGACTGCAGAGAATATAAATCTTTCCATTCCCCGCCAGTCAATTAGAACTTCTGGGGTGAGAAGCAAAATGTTTTCAAAAGAAAAACAACCTAAGAAAGTTCAGTTGTCGTTTGGAAAAAACAGCTTTTGGACAACCATGACCTGAGAATCTACCTAGATAACCAGATTGGCTGTCAATTCATTGTCACTTTAAGTGGATTGCAACTTAAAGAGATGTGATATAGTTAACATCCCTGGCATGTATTTTATTATTTGTCCTTTTGGTCCTGCGAAACAACTTTTAGGAATCTTGGCGGGGGTGGTGGTATGGTTTCCAGAAGCTCTTACACACTCTATATCTCTATCATAGATATGTATGTCTTCACCCTGCCCTCTTCCTTAAATGTACAGCTAAAGTGAGTTGTATTCTGGGGTGGAAATCAGGTTAACGGGATCGCTTGTTCAGTGCGCAATTTTCACAAAGCAGGTTGTGTCTATTCAGATCTTGGTTAGGCGATATGGGGGAAAGATTATTTTCAGTGGTTTGAGAATAGAACCCGCAATTCCTTTTGACTGGAGTTGGGCTTGAGTTTTGATCTAAGAAAGTCCCTCATGGCTCATGTCAAACTAACTATGATGTATGTCTTGGGGGTATTTTCTGGAAGGAGATTTCCTTTGATGTTTTACATGAGGGTGAGTCTAAATTTTGATTTCAGCCCTCCGAGGTCTTTGGGGTATTTCTATGGGATTTGGTTCAAGGAGGACCTGTCTTTAACTTCAGATGCTTGTTCCAGCAGGATTAACCTCCGTAGTGGTGTGAGTGAAGAGGTTTTGTGATTGCGCCATTAAGTGGTTTCCATTTTAGAAGGACCATGCAAAATATTGGAGCCTGGATGAATTTCCCCAGCTTGGGGGAGGTTGCGTGCAAATGTTGAGACTCTGAGTTGAATGTAGTCAACAGCCAAAAATATTTAAAAGATTAGCATGTTTTCTGACCAATAGTAACAATCATATTTTGTGGACATTCCTAAAATTCTTCAAAGTCGCGACCCTTGAGTTTTTGGACATAACCAACCTTACTAAAATCATAGTGGTTCTTAAGATTTTATTGCCTGGGCAATAATTAGCGGGGTTCACAGCTACCGTATAAATGAAGGTTATTAACCCAAATGGTTAGATTCATACAATGCTCTATGCCTCAGGTGCCTATAGGTGCCATCACCTGGCAGGCCATAGGTGATCAACTAGCAACCATTTTAGCAAGCCTGTTCCTCTCTTAAAGAATCTCAGATCATTTTTTTAAAAAGTATGTTTCCTTCTAGCTGATGCCGTTCTAATCTTAACAGAAATCTAGGTTTTGTTCCTTCGGTCAAGTAATATGTTGGAATTTTGATCCTCTATGAAGTTTTTCAGGATTTAATGTCAGCCACAGAACTTCATAGCCTGCAGAGCGGTTGCTGTCCAAGGTGCTGTGCTCATATCTCTCTCTCTCTCTCTCTCTCCTCTCTCTCTCTCTCTCTCTCTCTCTCTCTCTTCTCTCTCTCTCTCTCTCTTTCTCTCCCCTTCCCTCCCTCTTCTCCCTCTCACCCACACACATACACACACACCAGAGAAAGAGAGAAAAAAACATCTCTATCCCTGTCTGTCTATCTATCTACAATATCTATCATATCTATCTATCTTGTCCATTTATCTACCTGCCTGTCCTTCCTTCCTTCCTTCCTTCCTCCCTTCTACCTACCTACCTATCATATCTATCTATCTTGTCATTTATTTACCTTCCTGTCCTTCCTTCCTTCCTCCTACCTATCTACCTACCTACCTATCATATCTATCTACCTTGTCAATTTATCTACCTGCCTGTCCTTCCTTCCTTCCTTACCTACCTATCTACCTACCTATCATATCTATCTATCTTGTCCATTTATCTATCTGCCTTTCCTTCCTCTTACTTACTTCCTTGCCTACCTACCTACCTACCTATCTATCATATCTATCTATCTTGTCCATTTATCTACCTGCCTGTCCTTCTTTCCTTCCTTCCTTCCTTCCTTCCTTCCTTCCTTCCTTCCTTCCTTCCTTCCTTCCTTCCTTCCTACCTACCTACCTACCTACCTACCTACCTACCTACCTACCTATTGTCTTTATCTATCTATCTTGTCCATTTATCTATCTGCTGGTCCTTCCTTTCTTTATTACTTACCTACCTACCTACCTGTCTATCATCTATCTCAAATCGTAGGAAAGTTTCTAATCCCATTTCTTTCTTCTTTTGGTGGGGAGGGGGGAAACCGAGGCAAAGCTTTTGGTCTGCTTGAACCCGACATGAATACGACAAAGGATTCCGGCTTCTAACCTTTCCTGCTTGTTTGTTTTGTTTTGACAGAACCACAGCTGAAAGGCATCGTCACAAAACTTTACAGCCGGCAAGGATATCATTTGCAGATGCAAGCAGATGGAACCATTGATGGAACGAAAGAGGAAGAAAGCACATACAGTGAGTTATATTGTTAGACACACAAGAGCCCGTGTGGTTTGTTTGCACAATCTGCTAGGAGTCCATATGCACGGGTGTTTTTCGAAGGCTGGGCTCATTTGGGAGGGACGTCATCGCTGCGTTCTTGTTTGCTGTTCAACCTGCCGAAGGAGAGAAACACTTAGACGCTAGATGAAACAGCAGAAGTACTTCTGCTTCCTGCAAAACTGGCTCAAATGTTATCTCCATGGATATATCTGGATGAGTTCACCATCAGTTTATTTTGGGTTGGGCTTTTTAATGATCCGATTAGGAAGCGTTCCTTTCCCGTTTCATTTTTACCTGACTTAAAACCCTACGGCTATTGTCATTTCAGAATCAGGAGAATTCAATGCTCCCACTTCTGTGGTGGTGAGGATGGTGGAAGCAATTAATCCTGGGGGCCATTTTGTTTCCATAAATCCTGAGGTTCCGTTCCATTTGTCTCCCTTCCCCTTCCTCCGTGTTACGGTGTGCAATGGAGCGTTCGTACATTTCAGTAAATAGGACGTGTATGAATTGGGGGGAAATAACCTTTTGAGTGTGGCGGTGCACAGATTAGGAAACTATTTCAATTCTTCCCCTCCAATGCAAACCTTCATTTACGGGTTTCAAAAAGAGGAGATTATCGTTCTCACCCCCAAGTAATACATGGCTTGAAATAGAACGGTCTATTCGGCTTCTAAAATTCAGAACAGAGATAAGATGGCCATCTCTTCTGCACATACAAAAAAAAATGTTTCAAATCTTTTTTTTTTCCTCTTCTCTGGTAAAGATGACAGTGGGATTTCTAAGAGGCCCAACAGAACTCTGTATCCCAAACTGAAATTAGGGGAACATCTTCAGTTTTTACCATGTTCCCCCAAAATAAGACCGGGTTTAATAGTAAATTTTGCTCAAAAAGATGCATTAGGGCTTATTTTCTGATTAGGTCTTATTTGGGAAGGGAAATACAGTACTAAATGTATCTAACTGGCTGACAATCTTAACTGGGGCTTATTTTGGGGGTAGGACTTATATTATGAGCATCCTGCTAGGGCTTATTTTCCTTTTTGGGGAAACAGGGTATTAGGGGGTTGCATGTTCCAGTAGGAAATAAAGAGCCACTAGATTTGTGGGGACTTTAGGCAAAATGCCTTCTCGGCTACCTTTAAGGATTTTCAGAAGATTCGGTGACAGAGAATGGCTGTTTCAATGCTGAAGGTTTCATCTTTAGTTCCTACTCCTGGGGAAAGGATGAGGAATCATCTCATGAAAGGTTGAAGAGCTATGGCTGTCAAAGGGCAACCTGGAATCTCAGATCTGCCTGCAATCCATCCATGCACCTATCCATCCCTCCCTCCCTCCATTCATCTATTGATCCATCCATTGTTCCATCCATTGATCCATCCATCCTTCTATCCATCCACCCATTGATCCATCCATCCATCCATCCATCGGTCCATTTGTAGAACAAGAAACCACTCTAAAGTTTGTGGAATGATTTCCTAACAATCTGAAGCAGGAAATAGGCAGCAAATGGAACCAAAAGCCTTAAAATAGGGTTGAACACAATTTTAAAAGTCTAACACACCCCAAAAAAAGTTTTAAAATACCTCCAAAAATCTTGGAGAAATGCAGAAAACCGAGTCCAGGCCTTTGATCTTGCCCCTTGTAGTGTGTGCCCAGTCACTGCAATTTTGACAGTACCATTGGATGGGAAGCCATACCCCCATCAAATACGACTTCAAACGTTCCTAATTTTTGGCTGCTCAGTTTTGGCACCGGAGGAGTTCCTGCTGAAAATTCTTGGTCTTTATCTACAGCTTCTCCGGAAAGTTTGACAGCAACGCACCAACTTTGGCAACTGCTAAATAATAGGTCTTGATGTTACATGAGATTCACCAGCCAACATCGCTTCCCCTGCCCATCAGTATGAAATACTGCTGAAAAGTTTGCAGTATGGCAAGGAATTTTGTAGGGTGGAACTGTTAGTTTGGACAGCTACGTGATGCCTGGGAATGAACCAGCCAAAGCAATCGATTTCTGCATAAAGGACATTCCTTTAAGATACATCCTTGTGGAATATCGGCTTTGAATTGGTTAAAGAACCTTTCTGTGTTGGCTTAGGTGTCCGGTTTTTTTTGATGTAGGAAAACTGGGAAGGCTTGTTCTGCCCCTATTCTATCCTTCTGGCGCTGCTCTTTCTACAATGTTAGAGTCCAATGTAACTAACGGCCATTCTCTTCCACTCCAATCTGTTGGAGATCCATTCTGTTCTCTAAATTAATTAATATATATATGGATCTCCATAGAGTGGAAGAGAATGCTCAGATTGTTACACGGATTCTAACATTGTTTGGTTGACTTCCGCCTCTCTTCCGTGCTGGTAGCTTGGGGTTGATGGGAATAAAAAATATAAAATAATAAAATAACAGCCTCCCATCCTGGTGACACCACACACTCATCATCATCCTCTTTTTAATGTCCCCAGAATCCCTTGCGGGGTTTAGTTGGGCAACTGAATGGAGCTAGCAGATTGTTTAATGGTTGGATGCCCTTCCTGTCGCCAATGCGCCAAGAGCCTTGGTAGTAAGTGGTCTAAGGCACCCTGTTATTAAGTGGTTATTAAGACCAGCTGCCTGCAATTATTGCAGGTTCGAATCGCCAAGGCTCAAGGTTGATCAGCCTTCCTCCTTTCTAAGTTGGTAAATTGAGGACCCAGTTGTGGGGGCAATAAGCTGACTTTGTATAAATATACAAAAGGATGAAGCTATTGCTGAGCACATTGTAGCTGCTGAGTCTCGGAGAAGGGCAGCATATAAATTAAATTTTTTAAAAATGCGGAGTTTTGTTCGGCAGATATACACTCATCGTGCATATCAGAGAGAGAAATATCTGCTTCTACCTAGGATCGAACTCACAGCCTCTGATTGTGAGATGAGAACTCCACTCTAAGCACTGCACTGACAACGCACACTCATACCAGCCATTTAAGGGGCTCCATCCTGCTCTGGGTTCCCCAGGCCCACTGGCAGAGCCACATCTTCAGGGCCTTCCAAAAGAGTGAGGGCCAGTCTAATCTCCAGGGGGATGATGTTCCAGAGCCACCATGGAGAAGGTCCTTCTTCTGGGTTCCGCCAGCTGTATCTCCTTAGGAGACGGGACTCAGAACATTCCTTGCCTCCCCGCTCTAGTAGGGCACGTAGATATGACGGCAAGAGATGGTCCCTCAGATAATGCCCCAAATGGAAGACTCTGCTGTAAATCTTCTTTAAAGGAGAATATTTGTAGCTCAGGACTGAAATGAGGGGTCCTTGGTGCTCTCCCAGCTGGCTAGTTTCCTTGCAGACGTTTCATGACCCTTCCTAGGTAACATCATCAGTTCTGGGTAGTAAGGAGTGTTGTTTGCTGTCGGTTATTGACAGCAAACAGCCCTCCTTACTAGAACTGGTGATGTTACCTCGTTTGCAAGGAAACTAGCAAGCTTGGAGAGCACCAAGGACCCTTTTGTTGTGACTGAGGCCCAAATAGTGATTACCAAACACAATTCAGTCCTGAACAAACTTATTTTATTAAAACAACTGAGAATGAATCCATTCTCAGCTTAGTCCAAAACAAAATTCTTCATAACCAGTCCGTCGGCCTTATCACCAACCTTTGATGTCTTTGGCAACCTGCCAAAGGCTTTTCTTGGCAAAACCCCCTCAAAGTTCAAGAGACGCTGACAAGAAGCACTGGAATCAACGCTGCTTTTCTACAAAGAACCCAACGGCTCGTTGCTGCTCTTTTAAGCCTTCTGGGAGGGGCCAATCATCTCCAGGCCTTACTCCGAGTCGTCCCTTTTGCTTCAGCTGTTCTTGCCTTCTGGCAGCTCTTTGCATGCGTGCACTAGGAACAGGCTCCTCCTGTTCCTCTGCCTCTCTGTTGTCAGCCTCTTGAGGCTCCGGAGTCTGTGCATCGCTCCCCGATGGCCTTGGCCCCATCTCTGCCTCCGATGCGGAGCCATCATCCGGGGCTTCCCCGGACTCCAGGACTGGCCCATTGTCCTCCCCAGCCTCCTCACTGTCCAACTCCACTGCCAGGTCTGCTGGCAGACCACAAAACCCTCATAAACCTTTTTTGTGGTTTCTTGGGAGCCTTGGCTGAGGACACTGGGAGTTGTAGTCCAAAATATCCTGAAAGCCGGCCAATTACTTAGGAAACGCAAGATGTATTCTATAGTTAACTTGATCCAGAAAAATTCTGGTTCAATTCCCAAGGAAATGCTTGACGTGCTTGTCAAGACCGTGTGAACTTTGCAACATGCACCCAAAAAAAAAAAATCCTTTTCTTTCTTTCTTTTTTCTTCTACAAGCATGACAGCATTTCCCGTTGATGGGAAAATCTGGTTTTGTTTCCGCAATTCAGGCCGAGGGACTAACTTTTTTTTTCTTCTTTTCCTTTTTCTCCTAGCTTTGTTTAATCTCATACCGGTTGGTTTACGAGTTGTGGCTATCCAAGGCGTTCAGACAAAGCTGTATTTAGCGATGAACAGTGAAGGCTACCTGTATACATCAGTAAGTGTCTCTTTTGTGTTGTTGTTGTTTTCCCCCAAATGGGATTGTCTGCCTTGCGTTGGGCCCTGAAAGAATACAGGCATCCCTTGGCTTACGACCCCAAATTTCTGTTGCTAAGTGAGACATTTGTTAAGTGCGTTTTGCCCCATTTTGAGGACCTTTCTTGCCATCGTCGTTAAATGAGTCACTGCAGCAGTGGTGAAATCCAAATTTTTTTACTACTGGTTCTGTGGGTGGCTTGGTGGCATGGCAGGGGAAGGATACTGCAAAATCTCCATTCCCACCCCATCCTGGGGGAAGGATACTGCAACATCTCCATTCCCTCCCCACTCCTGGGGGAAGGATACTGCAACATCTCCATTCCCTCCCCACTCCTGGGGGAAGGATACTGCAAAATCTCGTCTCTCCACTCCTGGGGGAAGGATACTGCAAAATCCCACTCCCCCCACTCCTGGGGAAGGATACTGCAAAATCCCCACTCCCTCCCCACTCCTGGGGGAAGGATATTGCAAAATCCCCATTCCCTCACTCCTGGGACCAGCCAGAGGTGGTATTTGCCGGTTCTCCGAACTACTCAAAATTTCCGCTGCGGTTCTCCCGAACCTGTCTGAACCTGCTGGATTTCACCCTTGCACTGCAGATGTTAAGTCAGCAACATGACTCAATTGTTAAGGGACTCTGGCTTCCCCATTGAGTTTGTGGTCAGAAGGTCTCAAAAGGGGATTGTGTGACACACACACACCTCTCGGGACACTGCGACCGTCGTAAATGTGAATCGGTGGCCGAGTGTCTGAATTTTCATCACGTGATCATTGGGGATGCAGCAATGGTCCTAAAGTGTGGGAAAAAAGGGTTATAGGTTTTTTTTCAGTGCTGTTGTCACTAAACGAATCATCATAAGTCGAGGACTACCTGTAGAAATTGGCAAACCATTTGACCAGGATGGTATAAGCTCTATAAGGTGTCTTGCCTTGGGCAGGGGGTTGGACTAGAAGACCTCTAAGTCCCTGGCAGCCCTAGGATTAAATGTTCTGCGCTCTAAATTCCATGTTTCTTTTAGAAGATTTAGACCGTGCCTCTAAATCTTAGTTTATTCAAGTATATTTATCTGGAGAATGCCAAGGAATATATTGAATTAATGTTGAATCCTTTGCCGTGAGGTTGACTTCCCTGCTCACCTTGAGTGAACTGCGGCAGTTTAAAAGTAACAAAGCAGGAAAATGTCATAAGCTCATACGAATATTATTTCCACTTTTTTATGGCTGCGAGTTATGACTTAAATAAGCGTCTGCCGTGGCCGGAAGGAGGCATATGAGATATTAAAGAGATTTGTCCGATTAGGCTCTGACAGGCTTCATCCAGACAGGCAATAAGCAGATGCGTGGTTTGCTTCTGATCTGATGTTCAGAGGATATTTTGTGTGGCGTTTGATCTTGAGATCTTTCTTCTTATATCTTTAATAAAGAACGTTCAATCATTTTTACTTGAGGATGGAGGAAAAGGTAGAAGGGAAGGAAGGGAGGAGGGAGGGAGGGGAGGGAGGGAGTGAAGGAAGGAAGGAAGGAAGAGGAGGAAGGAAGGAAGGAAGGAAGGAAGGAAGGAAGGAAGGAGAAAGAAGAAGGAAGGAAGGAGGAAGGAAGGAAGGAAGGAGGAGGAAGGAAGGAAAGAAGAAAGAGCAAGGAAGCGAGAAAGAAAAGGGAAAGAAGGAGGAAGGAAAGAAGAGGGAGGGAGAAAGAAAAAGAAAGAAAGGAAGGAAAGAAAGAAAGAAGAAAGAAAGAGGGAGGGAGGGAGGGAAACAGAAAAAGGAAGGAAGGAAGAGGAAGGAAGGAAAGAAAGAAAAAGAAAAAGAGAGAAAGAGAGGGAGGGAGGAGGGAGGAAAGAAAGAAAGGGAGGGAGGGAAACAGAAAAAGGAAGAAAGAAAGAAAGAAAAAAGAAGAAGAAGAAAAAGAGAGAGGGAGAGGGAGGGAGGAAGGAAAGAAAGAAAGAAAGAAAGAGGGAGGGAAACAGAAAAAGGAAGGACGGAAGGAAGATGGAAGGAAAGAAAGAAAAAGAAAAAGAGAGAAAAGAGAGGGAGGGAGGAGGGAGGAAGGAAGGAAAGAAGGAAGGAAGGAAGGAAGAAAGGAAGGGAGGGAGGAAGGGAGGGAGGAAAGAAAGAAGAAAGAGCGAAGGAGCGAGAAAGAAAAAGGGAAAGAAGGAGGAAGAAAGAAAGAGGGAGGGAGGGAGAAAGAAAAAGAAAGGAAGGAAAGAAAGAAGAAAGAAAGAAGAAAAAGAGAGAGGGGAGAGGGAGGAAGGAAGGAAGGAAGGAAGAAAAGAAAGAAAGAAAGAAAGAAAGAAAGAAAGAAAGAAAGATAGAAAAGAAAGAAAGAAAGAAGAAAAAGAGAAAGAAAGAAAGAAAGAGGGAGGGAAACAGAAAAAGGAAGAGAGGAAAAGGACGGAAGGAAGATGGAAGGAAGAAAGAAAAAAGAAAAAGAGAGAAAAAGAGAGGGAGGAGGGAGGAAGGAAGGAAGGAAGGAAGAGGAAGGAAGGAAGGAAAGAAGGAAGGAAGGAAGGAAGGAAGGAGGGAGGAAGGGAGGAGGAAAGAAAGAAGAAAGAGCGAAGGAGCGAGAAAGAAAAGGAAAGAAGGAGGAAGGAAAGAAAGAGGAGGGGAGGGAGAAAGAAAAAGGAAGGACGGAAAGAAAGAGAAGAAAGAAGAAAAAAGAGGAGGGAGAGGGAGAAGGAAGGAAGGAAGAAAAGATAAGAAAGAAAGAAAGAAAGAAAGAAAGAAAGAAGAAAGAAAGAAAGAGGGAGGGAAACAGAAAAAGGAAGGAAGAGGAAGGAAGGAAGAAAGAAAAAGAAAAGAGAGAAAGAGAGGGAGGGAGGAGGAGGAAAGAAAGAAAGAGGGAGGGAGGGAAAAGAAAAAGGAAGGAAAGAAAGAAAGAAGGAAGAAAAAGAGAGAGGAGAGGGAGGGGAGTAGGAAAGAAAGAAAGAAAGAAAGAGAAGATGAAAGAAGAAAGAAAGAAAGAAAGAAAGAAAGAAAGAGGGAAACAGAAAAAGGAAGGATGGAAGGAGGATGGAAGGAAAGAAAGAAAAAAGAAAAGAGAGGAAAGAGAGGGAGGGAGGAAGGAGGAAAGAAGGAAGGAAGGAAGGAAGAAGGAAGGAGGAAGGAAGGAAGGAAGGAAGGAAGGGAGGAAGGAAGGAAGGAGGAAGGAAGGAAGGAAGGAAGGAAGGAAACATCTTAAAGGTTGCCTTTCTTGAGATATTCAATTTCATTCTTCATTTTATGGGTGACTTCTAGAAGAAAAAAAACACACACACTGAAGGGCTGAAGCCTGAAGTCCAGAATCTGGATGTTGCAAACGTCTGTTTAAGAAAAGAAATTTGGTTTAATGTTTGTGTTCGTCGCCCACTCGGCCATGCCCGGCTGACCATTGGCTCTTCAGCCTCGCCCCCACCCGATGTAGCTTGCGGTGTTATAAAGAAGGCAGGTTTGGGATGAATTATTCATGGCATCTTTTCGTTTCTGGAAAAGAAGCTAGCATTAAATTACACCAGTAAATATGAAAGCTGGTGGCGTAGAGTTAACGTGTTGGACTAGCCTCCAGGAAACCTAAGCTATCTTTAGCTACACAATTCCCGGGTGATTTTGGGCCAACGACCGACTGTCTTCTCGGCTCAACCTAAATTCACTGAAACAAAAGACAGTCAACTCTCATAATAAACAGATTAAAATAAAACTGATCGTCCCGTCTAGCCCGTCTCTCTTTGTCGTGAGATCTTGAAGAAGAGCCAAGGGATTGTTGGACAGCAGACGTTCTCTCCTAGAACCTGGCTTCAAATGAGCTTTTAGGTAAAAATGAGAGCTTGAATTGGACTCAGACACACGTGTGAATCCTGCATACGGGGGAATAGAATTGGGGCGTACGAGGGAAGTTCAGAGAATGCTTTGGATCCTGCCTTGGGCTGTGATGTTCAGATGTTCTTCAGAAGGGGTCAGGCTGTTTTCCAAAGCACCCGAAGGCCAGACAGGAAATAATGGATGGAAACTGATCAAGGAGAAATTCAGCCTGGAAATAAGGAGGAACTTTCTGAGACCCTGAGAACAATCAACCCGTGGAACAGAAGTTGCCTTTGGAAGTTGTGGGAGATTTATCACTGGAGGCTTTCAAGAAAAGGTTGGACTGCCATCGGTCAGAAATGGTGTATGGGCAGGGGGTTGGACTAGATGATCTACAAGGTCCCTTCCAACTCTTATTAATCTGTGATCAGAAGTGGCCCAAGACAGGGGATGTCCCCATCATTCAAATGAGTGACTCCAGCCCCGGATTTTGAAGCCGACCATGAAGGAAAGTGCTGGGTTTCTCTTTTGAATCTTGCTTGTGACCTCCCCAAAGGCCCGAGAGTTGACCTCAGCCACCCCCAACAAGGCTGAGGTTCTCAAACCTCCAGGGAGATGCAAGAGCTGGCTTTTCCTGCCCTAACCTTGTAAGCCGGCTGTCTTGCAGAAAAGCATCCTAATAAATAAAAGATCTCAGGGGTGACCCAGCTGTTGGAGACTCCGAAGGAAACGGCTGCCGAGTTGGCTAATTGGAAGAATTTCTCCATTCGGTTCCGTTCCGATGCTTTGCTTTGCTTGCGCCTCGCCTCCAATGCATCACAATTACGAGCCTTCTTCGCACTGGGGGGGGGTGTCTGGGGGGGGCAGGCAATCGAAAACAGCCATCCCCGGAATTGCTGATCTCTAAACAGGCTGGAGGAAGAAGCTGCGGCAAGCATGCGATCGGATGGATGGATGGATGCGTGGGTGGTGGGTGGCTGGAGGAATCGGTCTCTTGACCTTTCGGTTGGCTAGAAATTTCTCCCTTTGCCACACGTGGCAAACCCCAAGGGTGGTTTTTCACGCAGGAGAAGTGGACGGAGGCAGCAAAGCATCCATTGAAGCACCTCTGCAGTGTGGATTGAGGGTTGTGTTGTTTGTTGGTCCGTGCTTCGCTGCATTGAAAAAAGAAAAAGAAAAACCTGTC